CCATCCCTCCTTGTCACCGAAACCAAAGACAGCGTAGCCAGCCAGGGACGAGAGCGGCGCAGTATCGATGCGGAAGTCATTGTGGGTTTCGTCAAGATGGCCAAGGAAAGTGTTCAGAATAGTATCAATGTTGTACGAGGGGATCAGCAAGCAGTAAACGTAGCGCGTTCCGGGCGAGTTGGACGGAGGCTTGGGAGCAGCGGCGAAGTAATCATCGAAATCGACATAGGAGAGGTCATGAATGTGAGGAGGAAGGATGGCCCGCTCACGGTTCTCCGGGTCGGCTCGTTCTTGGGCGGCGGCGCGCAGGTCTTCAAGCAAAACCTGCGCATATTTCTCAGTTGAGCCGGTCAACGAAGCCCAGAAGATGATAGGCTGGATGAAGGACAGAGGCTGTTGTTCATGGTCGGAACCGGCACGTCGGCCAGCGACCTTTGAGGGCTTCTTTCCTGACACTCTCTTGGGACCGGACGTGGACTTGGGCGCTTTCTCCTTCTCGGCGATCGTTTGGATGGTCGACTTTTCGACCTTGGTAACTTCTTCGTCATATCCAATCGCGATCTTTTCACTCTTCTCCGGAGAATGGCTTCGAGGGGACGGTGGGATCGAGGAGGCAGTGGCCGTTCTAGACTTGGGCTGGAGTGTACGATAGAAGCGAATGAAGGTAAACGCGGCGACGAGAGCGAGAAGAAGCGGCAGACGATAGAGATGCCAGAAGGCCAGCAGACCTGAAACAGGGCGAATAATCAGCACGAGAACGTGCGCGAGCACGAGTCGGTGTAACGCTTACCTTCGTCTACAGAGAAATCTGCCATGATTGGAAGAACGAGACAGCCGAGCCCTCGGGTTCTGCTCGCCTATTCTTCGTTTGCCTTTGAGGATCAAAGCAGATGGCCTTGCCTTGGTGACAGACGATGAAAAGAAAGAGCCGAGAAATGGCGGGTCGGATTAAGTGGGCGGAAACACTTTATTTTAGGAGGGGTTGATTGGGCCCAGAGATACTCATCGCATGCCCAGTGGATTGCAGTTGTCACCACAATGCAGGGGAAAGAACTTTTGAAAGAGTATAATGACACAAGAATTCTCGAAAATCAAATCAGATACATATCGACAGCATACATCACAAAAATGAAAATAAACCAGGCCTACAAGGAAGATCCAGGCAGTATACCTACAAAAGCGGCATCTCTGCGTTTCTCGAGGATTTTTTTCCGATAAGCGATGATTGGCTCCCGCATTTACCCTTCCTTATCGGGTAATCGCGGTGATTTGTCATCCATCTCCTCTGTCGGCGCTGATAACGTCTAAATCAAATGGAGAGCAGTATGGCGACGATTCCTTTGGATCTGATGTGATGACACTGCCTTTCTCTTCTTCCAAAGGTTGCAGATAAGCTCTTGTTGCATTCAGACTGTACAGAAAAGTGCTATTGTTGGTCTCCACGGGTCACCGAGCGATTGTCTTTTCTTAGCTGCGCCGTGCTTGAAGATAAGCATGCAGGAACGCATTGTCTCTTCGTACTGAGTAACACCGCATCACCTCCTCATTCGTGACCTACTACCTCAATTCCTCGCAGGATATCAAGTGGAAACGGAGACATCTGCTGTATAGCAACCATTTATAGCAGCTATTCCACCCTCCTACCCTTGAACAATGGACACCAAGCTTGATCCTGAATCGGGTGTGCATCTATCGGATGCCGCACATCATACGCAGACCCGTTCTTTCTACGCACGCAACAAGAGTCGCTTGGCCCTGACTCTTATCGCTGCGTGCCTTCTGGCTGTCTTGAGCAACACTCGTACGATCGGTGCTCGGAAATGCAGTCTACCACTCTCCATCGAGCAGCGAGTGGAACGTATCTTGACAGAAACACCCCTCATAGGTAAGACTATACCCAAAACAACTCGTTTCTGGTAGATAATTGACATGTGCTCGTATAGACGGCCATGATGACCTTCCGATTTTCATCCGAGAAAGATTCCAGAATCACATCTACGACGACGAGTTCAAGACTCCATTTACCAAAGGCGACTTGGTAGGCCATGTAGATCTACCCAGACTAGCCAAAGGCAGGGTCGGTGGCACTTTCTGGAGCGTCTTCGTTCAGTGTCCCGCCAACTGGACCGATCTCTCCGACGCCAACTATGCGACTAGTGAGTTGTCGCCCGGTTTATTCTACTTGTGGGTGAAGGTAACTGACTGCGTCCGTCAGGCGTCCGCCAGACAATTGAGCAGGTAGACGTTATGCTGCGCCTACAGCAGTCTTACCCCGATACGTTCTCTGCGCCTCCGAATGGCACGACTGCTCTTCAAGCCTTCCGTGATGGGAAGATCATCTCCCCACTAGGGATGGAAGGGCTACATTCGATCGGCAACTCACTGGCCCTACTGCGAGACTTCCATGCGCGTGGTGTTGCGTATGCCACACTCACTCACAACTGCCACAACCGGTATGCCGATGCGGCCCTCGTTGAGATCCCTGGTGGGATCAAGAAAGCGGATCCTCTCTGGCACGGAGTCAGCGAAGCGGGCAAAACGCTCGTGCACGAGATGAATCGACTCGGCATGATTGTCGACTTGTCCCACGTGAGCACAGACACGATGCGCGATGTTTTAGGGGCCGGAAAGGATGACTGGACCGGCAGCCGCGCGCCAGTCATCTTCAGTCACAGCTCCGCATATGCCGTCTGTCCTCATCCAAGAAATGTCCCTGACGATATCTTGGAGCTGGTCAGAGCACGCAGGTCACTGGTTATGGTCAATTTCGCTCCGGATTTTGTTTCGTGCACGGCCTCGGAAGATCCCAAGGGGCTGCCCCATTTCGAGCCCGAGACTGCCACCCTGGCGCACGTTGTGGATCATATTGTGCATATCGGCGAACTGATTGGCTTCGATCACGTTGGCTTAGGAAGCGACTTTGACGGGATTCCCACTGTTCCCCAGGGTCTCGAGGATGTGTCCAAGTATCCGGACTTGATCGCGGAGTTGTTGAAGCGAGGTGTCAGTGATGAGGATGCAGGAAAGGTAGCCGGAGGCAATTTGCTGCGAGTGTGGAAGGAAGTCGATGACGTTGCTCTCCAATTGCAGGCTGAGGGGGCACTTCCAGCTGAAGATGACTTGTCTCATGCCTGAAGCCAATTTGTTAAATTATTCGACGCGCATGTCTCGCCTCTCATTGGACCGGGAGCCATGCCATACCGGACAAATTTGGTAATATTCGACCTCCACTTGCTTAATTATAGCTGAAGTAGAAGCAGTTTTCATGACGTACTAGCAAGGCTTGTTTGACTCTGAAACGCTCATCTGGAACTGTGACAGTTTCTTTCGGCCTGAGGTGGAAGCACACCTGCCAACCTACCATAGATCACGCATTCAGATTTGCGATACTACTTTCGCTCGAAAGTCTTTAATTGATTCAAAGCTCAACCAATAGTCGAAGGACCATGCACTCGCGTTGGTCGGGTCCTGGATTGTTTGTACGCGTAAACCGATCAGAGGCTGACTAACCACTGTGCTATCAATTCAGGCAGGCTGGTGGAGACATCGATGCTATGCACAAGACACCTAGCATCACCACCTAGATTCTTGCCCACACTGTACAACTTTCAAGTTGGAAAGACGCGCGTCTTCCAGCATTGCGGGGTCAACAGTAGCCATGAACTGGGTTAATTATGACTACAGTCCGAAGGGAGAATGGCAGGTCCCACATCAACATCGGACGATCAAGACGAGCATGGTGTATACATTTGTCCCACCTTCAGTCGGAATCGCAATTGAAGGCAGGCAGGCATGGGCCCCTCCTGCTGGTGATCGAGAAAGGCGGCAGAAGAGGCCAACCAGCCACATCCACCTGGGTTGTAGATCTCATAATGCCAATGACGCGCTGGTTATTGCGCATGTCAAAAGAGTCTGATCGGATATTGCCACCTGTTGACATACGTCTGTCTTCCGGCGGCACGCGCATGCTTTCCTGTATGGTTCAGTTCCATGAGCTTCTATTTTGAGCTGGTCTTATCGACCATTGTCAAAAGCTTGTCTCGCGCCATCGACATCATCATTCAAGAGGGGCTTTGCAGAGATAAGCCTCAATCGTCTTATCAGATTCATCATCTGGGTTTGGGTGCTGTTTTCCGACCAGACTACTTGGTTTCCGCGTCAGCAGATCAGGCTGTCGACTCGAATGGCCGTGCCTTGATCGATCGCGAAGGTGTTCCTGGCGGGCAACACAGATCTGCATGCTACTCAGTAGGAGATTCAGCACTATGATGTCATGAGACGCGCGCAAAGAAAGGTACGCTCTTGAAGCGAGCCTCTCATCTGTGTTTTCGCCCACTCAGGGGACGATGGATGATTCACGGAGCAAAGGGTCGAAGATCAGGTGCCGGCCCAGCTCCCATCCCCAAACACACAAAAGCCTATTCTCCTCACCCGATTCATAGCAGCATACAACGTTTCATGAACCCGATCAACTTATCCTTCTGTTGATCAGCTCTTCCAGCAAAGCAAGGGATACCGCTCTTTTCGGGCGATGATGTGCAACAACCACTGGAGATGGCAGCATTCTTCATCTTCCATACCAGAGATATTCCACAAGAGGCAAGATAGACACCTGAAAACCTCGGCCCCTTCGTCGCATTGCGCAAGCGCTACACCTCCCTTGCAATTGGGAGGATCCCAAAAATCAGGAATCATGTCGTCGGAGGTCTGAACGTTTGGCTATGAAGCTTTCCTCCTGGGCGGCTTTCTCCAACTTTGGTAACGGGCACATTCCAGCCCTGTGGAGTAGGTTGTTCTGCGTGTTCGGTGCGGAGAATTTCGGATGCAGAATGTCGTCGGCGGTGTTTTTTCTTCTTTCCTTTGCTCTGGGAAGCAAGCTTTTGACAAGAGCTTTGGATGCTATTTAATTCTCCGCGCCGCTGTTTTTCTTTCCGGGAGTTTCATGATGTACTGTACATCGGACAGGGATTCCGTGATAGTTTGTGCTGTGTTTCGCCAGAATGGATTCAATGCAGGAGAAGGAGGTCAAGCATATTGGGGGCAGAGTGGATGATACACAACATGAAGATACTGATCGCCAAAGCCAAGAGTCGACCGTGAAGCAAGATATGACCATTGAGCATGGACATCCAGCCCCGGATGGCGGATATGGCTGGGTGGTCGTGGCTTGTGTGTTCTGGCTGCAAGTCAATACGTGGGGCATCAATGGGGTAAGTCCATGGATAATTTCATGAGTCTTCTGTGCTGCAGTCAGGAAACTAACCCTCGTTTCAGAGCTATGGGATCTTTCTGTCCCACTATATGACCAACAATGTATTTCCGGGAACCAGTGCCTTCGCCTACTCCATGGTGGGCGGCTTATCGATTGGCTGCGCATACCTGATGGCCCCATTTACCGTTTACTTGATCCGCACGCACGGTACTCATGCCACCCTGATTGGGGGCATCATCATCCAGAGCGGAGGCTTGATTGCGGCCTCCTTCGCCACAAAGATCTGGCAGCTCTTTCTAGCACAGGGAGTCTGTTTCGGTACCGGCATGGGCGTCATCTATATGACGTACCTGGGCATCCCGGCACAGTGGTTTGAGCGCAAACGCAGCATCGCAAACGCGATCCCCGCCGCCGGAGCGGGGACGGGCGGGATCATCTACTCGCTGGCGATCCAGTCGATGATCGAGAACATCGGGCTGAGGTGGACGTACCGCACGCTGGCGCTGGTGTCGCTGACGGCGAACCTGGTGAGCGCGGCGTTCCTGCGCGACCGCCACAAGGCGACGGCGAGCCGGCACACGGCGTTCCAGTTCCCCTTGCTCCGGCGGGCGGAATTCGTGCTGCTGCTGGGGTGGGCGATCTTCAGCACGCTCGGGTTCGTCGCGGTCAACTTCAGCCTGCCGAACTTCGCCGTCTCGATCGGGCTGTCGTCGCACCAGAGCAGTGTGGTCGGCGCGCTGCATAACCTGGGCCAGGGGGTCGGGCGGCCGCTGATTGGGCTGCTGAGCGATCGCTGGGGCCGGCTGAACGTCGCGTCGGTGCTGTCATTGGTGTGCGCGGGTTTCTGCTTCGCGATCTGGATCCCCGCCCAGGATATGGCGGTCGTCTCGGCCTTCGCAACGATCGGGGGCATGGTGTCGGGTACCTTTTTCGCCACGGTGGCCCCCGTGATCGTCGAGGTGATTGGGCTGCAAGACCTGCCGGGCGCGCTGAGCATCCTCTGGCTCGTTCTGATCTCGCCCGGGGCGTTTGGCGAGGCGATCGCGCAGGCGCTGCGGCGGCCGGCATGGGGCACGGCGGCCTACCAGCCGGTGCAGGTCTTCTCGGGGATCCTCTACATCGCGGCGGCGCTGTGTTTGTGGTTTGTGCGAGGGTGGAAGGTCCAACAGAAGCTGCAAGAGGAAAGTGAACAGGCGAGTAGAGACAAAAATCTCACCGATGTGGTGGTATGTGCCAAAGAGGGAGAGGCAGAAGATGTGGTGAGGAAGTCGGTGTGGAGGGATCCCGTTGGGCTGGGAAGGGAAATGGTGCGTTGGTATCGTGTGTGAGGTGAGAACAGGAAAGTGAATATCCAAAAATGAGAAATGAGAAAAAAAAAAAAAAAAAGAAACAAAGAAGGGAAGGGAAGGAGACGAAAGTACAGGAGAAACAGAAACAAAATAAATTAGGGCACAAAGTGTTGGTATGGTGGTGTTGGACCAGAAGATTGGGCATACTTGAGTGAGTGGAATAATATTAGTACAGACAAACCCATTTCGATAGATCAATTGAAAGGGGAAGGGAGGAATGGACATGGAATATAATATAGCTCAATAAACATGGATGGCAATTTTCTTTTCTGTCACTGTCACTTGTCACACCTTAATCTAATTCTCCAAATCTTATTTTTTTAATTTCTTGAATTTCTGCTCTGAATTTTAAGACTGGTGCATTGGAAGAGGTGAGATCCATCAGATCGGCCTAAAATTAGCTGAATCCTTCGGTGATGTTGATGGGAAGAAAAGGGAAGGGTGAATCTTTCCTTGACCGCCAGATTGTGAAAAGCAACAACTGGTGGTTTCTTACTTTTTTGTGATGCACACCGAAAGAACTGAGACGAAGAGGAGGTGAGAGGGAAAAGTTTATCAACATTGGCAATGCCAGGTTGGTTTCTTGTAGTTTTGAATTTGTTTTTTACTTTCACATCTACATCTACACTACATTTACTTTTACTTTTACATTAGAGTCTTGAAAACTTATTTAATGTCTTTATCTTGCACCGGTACCGAAGTATAGCCAAAAACAACACTACCCGCAAGCTACTACTACTACTACTATTACTGCTACATCATCAACAACCACAACAATGCTCCCGCAACAACAACTGCCAATCCCATACATTGTGCCTCCCCATCTGGAGGAATACAACATCCCGCTGTCCGCGTTCGCGGCCGCCCGTCCTCAGTTCCACAACATCGTCGGCGGTGCGTTCATCTTCTCGACCACCGTGCCGGACGCCGTGACTTCGATTACTACATCTGCTTCTGCTCCTACAACTAGCTCAAAAAGAGCAGCGCAGGGGACGACAGTATCCACAACGACAGCATCCACACCTCCGCCTCCGCCTGTATCAGCATCCTCCTCCCCCTCCCCCTCCCCCTCCTCAGTGTCATCACCCACCCCAGCAACAGCAGCAACGGCAGCAACAGCAGCAACAGCAGCAGCAACACAATCCCCACAAACCCCGACTTCCTCCTCCTCCTCCACTACATCATCCACAGCCTCCACCCCCGCAACCACCCCCGGCACGACCCCGGACGACCACCAGCCCCACCCCCCTCTCTCACCCGATGAGGTCCCCGAACCCGAGCCCAAAACCCTCCTCCTCCAACGCAGCATCACAGACTCCTACCCGGGCCACTGGGAGAACCCGGGCGGGCTGATCGACCCCGTCCGCGACGCCACCGTGCTGGCGGGCGTGGCGCGCGAGGTCCGCGAGGAGACGGGGTTCCACGTGTCGCGGTTCGTGGATCTGGTCTGCGTCGACGAGTGGACCAAGATGAAGCGCGGCGTGCTGCTGCAGGAGACCAAGGTGACGTTCCTGGTGGAGGTGCGGGAGGCCGTCGCGGCGGGCTGGGAGGCAACCGTGAAACTGGCGGAGGGGGAGCATCAGGCTTTTGTGTGGGTCGGGGAAGGGGAGGTGCGTGGGGTGGTGAGGGACAAGGGGAGGAAGAGGAAGGCGAGTGGCGGGGCTGGCAGGTTGGGGGTGGGGTTTATTAATGAGCAAGGGGGGAATGTGCTTAGGGGGTTTGAGGTGGTGAGGGGGTTGAGGGGGTGTTGAGTTTCTGGATACTGGGAATGGGGATGGGGGTTGTGGTGATGGGGTCGGAGTTTGATGGTGGACTTGATGGGTTTTGTGGTGTATGGTAGATTGAAAAGTACTATTTGCGGGTGCATTTTTCGTTATAGATTGGTTGATGTATGGTATGGTATGTGCATTGTAGGTATTTTGGATCTGGTTATGGTACAGGTTTCATCATCATGGGAGTTCGTCTGAGATTCTATAGCTTGCTTTCTGGCACTGAGTTAGGGGCTTCTTGGGGTAGTAGACATCCTGAGAAGAATTGACCGATCTGACGATAGTCGTCCAGGCTGAGCACTGTCGAAACATCTGGATCTATGTCAATGCCAGTTCTCATGAACGGGAAAGGTCAGGAAACTCACATTGATCAGGGCGGACGATGATGATTGCTCCCCGCTCAGGACTGATCCCCAGATGCTCATAAACATGCCCATGGCCCTTGTTGTAGCTTTCGTCGTCGAAGAATATCTTATGAACGTCTTTCCCGTTGTTAGCAAGTATATACCAAAGGGGCCAGAGGACTCACCTCTTGTCTGGTTCTTGCCGGTAACAGGGTAGAAGCATGAGGGAATCTCATCCAGTTCAACACTGTGTCGCTGGCCGTATCCAACCAATATCGGCTCGATCAAGCTGTCTGCGTCGCTTCCCTCCAGACGGAAAGTCTGCAGGGGACTGTCGCTCGAGCTAAGATAGCTTCCCAGCTGTATGGTGTTAATTTGATGTTCGATTCGGTAAACAGGCATGTCACTTACAGCATCCAATCTGGTCTTGTTCTGGGCAAAACTGAGATCACCGACAAAGGCGATGACCCTCCACCTGCCATCCGATTTCAAAGTCATAGCGAGTTGCAACGGCTTAGAATCGCAGAAGCGCACCACCTGTGCGCTGGGCAGCCTCATTCCCACGACGACATTCGTCGAAAGCTCCTTCGACACCCCCGTGTCGGAAGTGATAGGCGATTCGTCATACTTGGCCGTAAGACCAGCCGTATATTTCCCGGACTTGATGAACCCCTCCTGGAACTCCTGGGGCGATGCGTCCCCCTTGGACGAGAAGAGCTTCGCAAAGTATCGATCGAAGTTGATCAGATCAATCGCCACCTTCTGCCGCTCCAGCACGTACGTCTCCAGCAGAGACGGAGGGGCCAGCCCCTTCAGAACCGACGCCAACTTCCAGCCCATATTGTACCCATCCTGGAGGCTGACATTCATTCCCTGCCCGGCTTTGGGAGAATGAGTATGGCAGGCATCTCCCGCAAGGAAGACGCGGTAATCCTTGTGGAAGCAGTCCGCATGACGCTGGCCGATCGCATACGCCGACCACCACACCGTCTCGACGAACTCGATCCGATACTGACTCAAGATCTTCTTCGCTGCCTGCTGCAGATCCTCCAGCCTGACATCCTTGGCCTTGGTTCCCGCGGGGAGCTCGATGTAGAACCGCGTCAGGTTGTCGCTGTCCCCTTCTCTCGGGATGATCAACAAGTTACCTGCTTTCGAGCGAATCGTCGACTTCTTCCGAATATCGGGATAATCCGTGCGGGGAACCATATCCATCACGCCCCAAACAGCGTCCGTACTATCCCCGACCATGTTATAGCCCAATACCTTCCGCACGGTACTATGCGCACCATCGCATGCCTATGATTCATCTCAAAATCAGCCCCCATCCCACCCACCTCACCCAAATGTGTCCCCCCAAGAAAAGAATACATACCATAACATACTTCGCCTCAAACCTCTCCACCCCGCTCCCGGCCTTCTCCGCCGTCACCGTCACCGGATACGCCTCGGGATCCTTGGCCTTGGTACTATCCACCTCCACCCCTTGCACGGTATACCCGTAATCGATCTCCTGGCCGTTGAACCGCCGCATCGCCTCGATCATCAACAGGTTGATCCGCGCCTGGTTCAGGATGACGTGCGGCTGATGCGACAGGCCCGGCTGCGTGTCCGCCGTCCTGCCCGTGCGGCGAATCCGCCCGGACCCGTCCTCGTCCGCCCAGAACACCACCTCCAGCACGTGGTACGATTCGCGCAGCAGCTCGTCGCCCATCCCGAAGCTCTCGAAGATCTCCACCGTCCGGCACTGCACCCCGTCCGCCTGGCCCATGGTCATCGGGCCCTCGCGCCGCTCCAGCACCTTGCACCGCAGCCCGTAGCGCGCTAGCCAGGTCGCTGCGCACAGGCCGGCGGAGCCGCTGCCGCAGATGAGGACGTCGACTTGTTGGGTCATTTTGTGATTGGGGAATGTGTCAGAGTATTAGTGTGGTGGGAGGAAAAGGAGGAGAGGGGGGGGTTCTTGGTTGAGCAAGTCAATTGTTCGTGTTGATATATGCCTCGTGACCGGAATGCGTCCCGATGAGAGTATATAGTGCTTGTGTAAAGAAGCCTAGAAGGTGCAGTGCTGTACCCCGGAATCCGTTCCGGGGCTCGGTTGAGGAGCCGGGGCCCTCGGTCGCGCTGTGCTCCAATCAGGTGGACCCCGCGGTCGCCTCCGCAATTTTGCGGGTTCCGCACTCTTCTCGATAAATTGCAGTAAGATCCATGATGAGGAAGGGAAAGCGTCAGCCTGGAGTGCCATGGTCTGTGCACTCATGGGAATAATGACGCGACATGTCATCGCCCATGTCATGGTCTATGGAGGAATCTGTATAGTCACCAACGATTATCCAATTCATCCCTCCCCAAAGACTATCAAGTATCCTAGAAACAAAAAAGCTTCATAGAATTGGTAACAATGACTTCATTAGGATCCTCGGTCGTTATGTATGCAGTCCATCACTTGGCCCATACCCAACTTGAGCGTGAGCACCATCCTGTATTCACTCCCCAACGCCAGCGCCGGTGCGGTTAAAACCCTGGAGATATCCACGGAGATCAAGCAAGCCTCATAAAACAAATAGCAACGTCATAAGTTTACAGAAAGTATTCGCTGCGGCCCGGCCGCGATGTCGGAACATGTCGTTGATCGTCGCTCACTGCACTGAAGAGCTTGAACGTCGGCTTGAGGTCGTCGTTGATCTCGCAAACCGAGGCGAGGTTGCCGCAGCGGTAGCAGTAGTTGGGCGCACTCCATACCGTGACCACGTTCTGGTTGGTGAAGTGGTACTTGTAGCCCTCGTTCACCAACTGGTGCGCTCGCGCAATCAGGGTCAGGTCGTTGACGTGGCAGAATTCGTCGGCAACTTTGTCGCCGAAGAGCCAGCCTAGTTCGACGGTCAGCACGGTGTTTGGTAAGGTTAGAGCAGAGGGCGCTTGCTTACCGGCTCCTCGTGGACTGACAGCCCAAGTTTCAACGTCATCCGGGTCCGACCACACCAGGTCACAGAAGGCACCCTCGTGGGGGATCTCTTGCGCCCGGGCGACAACACGGACTTGGTCAAGCGTCCGGATCTCCGGACTCAATCCTCCGTGTACACACAGCACCCTGCCGTCAATGATAGCGCCTAGCGTCATGAAGTCGAAGACTTGGCAGCAAGCCTTCCACACAGAAGCGTTGCCGTACTTTTGGAAGCACTCCTCGTAGAAGCCGTATACTTGGGTGATCTGGCGGGATTCGTGATTACCACGCACCAGCGTAACTCGGTCGGGGTATCTGAACAAGGGGGAAAGCTGTTAGGATCCGAAAAATCGTCGATACTGACAGACACATGACACTCACTTAGCCTTGAGGCAGAGTAGGAGCGTCAGGGTCTCCAAGCTGAAATAACCCCGGTCGACGTAGTCGCCAAGGAAAACGAAATTGCGGTTCAGAGTCACTTCATTCGACCCTGCGCTTGAAGATCGACCCCGTTGACTGCTGACCGAGGCTGTGTCGTCGCCGCCTTCCCCGCCTCCTGAATTTCTGAGCTTCTTCCGTAGCTTGGGATCACTGATGGTGGATGGGGGCTCAATATCTTCGGACGTGATGACTGAGGGAGATATCTTGGGCGGTTCGACTTCGGATTCATTAGGCATTCCGCCGGAGACCCTGAATAGTTCGAGCAGATCGTAAAATTGGCCGTGGATATCTCCACAGATTGTGACCGGGGTTGAGACGGGCTGGATGTTCGATTCTAGGCACGGGCGGTTGCGTCAATCTCTGCCTCCAGGAACGCGGCCGATCTCGGACAAAGGCCTACCTTCCATCATGAACTCCTTCACGATCTCGCAAAGTTGTTTCATGTGGGCCTCGGAGAGGTACTTGCAGTCCTTAGCTGCTTCAAGCCACTCGTCGGGGCCTGCATTGCGCTTCAACTTGGCCGGTCCCGGCTGAGGGACCTTACTGTCAACCATGATGCTGCTAAGCCACGCTGCGGGATAGAGGGTCGCGATAGAGATAGGGTACTAGGTGGGAGGAGGAAGACAAAAGGATAAATGAGAGGCAGCTGTGAGGAAGTATAATGAGCGAACAACGAGGAGGTCTAAAGGAAAGTCGCTCGCATACACCGGGGCACACCAAGTATGCTGAGCTGGATGCGCATTAGCGGGTTCTTCCCCGCAGGGTGAATAAGATGTGATTGATGTTGGGCATGGCCGCCGGTCACGTGAACTCGCTGTCGGGATCTCGCGTCGCCATCCGATGGTTATCAGCTTAACATTTCCACACGACAACAACACCGCTCATTTCTGGAGCTGAAACTCAAGGGTGTGGTGACTCCGAGACTCCACGTCCCTCAACACATCACCGGCGTACGCATTGTATCCTCAATTAATACACCTTGTCCCACAACAAGAACTACTCTTTCGGTCGCACTCTTGGCCAGGGCGGGGGTTGCTCAGACCGAAAGAGTCTGTATATCCACCATGACGCAGACCCCGAACGGCAAGTCTGCAGGAGGCGTCCTGCAAATCCCGGTGGCTGCGACTCAGAAGAATGCTTCTGCGACAACTAAAAAAGCTCCCAAGCCTCCAGCGCCGCGACTGAAGCTCATCATCAGACGGCTTCCGCCAGGGTTGACCAAAGCCGAATTCGAGACAGCTCTCGGCCCCGAATGGAGGACCGGAGCTGGAAAGGTCGATTGGTTCCTCTACAAGCTGGGGAAAGTGTCCAAAGAGTAAGGTTCTTCTTGCTGTGGGCTCATCCTTTCGCTAACTTGACGGTTGCAAACAGTCCAGCCAAACCTTCTCGGCCCTCGCGAGCCTACATCCACGTCGTTTCGAACGATTATACTCTGCCGCTTTCCACTCAGGTTCGCCAAACGTCCTTCCAGGATGCGCGCAACACTTTCAATGACCCTGTGCTGCTGGGACCACCCTCGTTGGAGTTTGCGCCGTTCGCCAAGATCCCCGGCAGTCGTTCGCGCAAGGATGCTCGCCAGGGAACTATTGATCAGGATCCCGATTTCATCGCCTTCCTCGAGAGTCTTACCCAGCCCATAACGAAGCCAGCTGCAATTGACTCGGCCGCCGATGCGGAGGACAAGAAAGATTCGGTGACTATTACGCCCTTGGTTCAATACATCAAGGATAAGAAGGCCAACAAAGCTAAGGAGTCCAACAAGTCTTCCCGCCACAAGTCAGACAAGGATTCGAAGTCGGAGAAGGTCCAGGCAAAGAAGCTGCTCCAACGGCCCGATAAAGACTCTGCTCAGCCGGCCGCTGCAGAGAAGTCGGATAGGAGGAGCAGGTCCGACAGAGCTACCAAGGAAGCTGTGAAGGTGGCGAACAAGCAGGCCGCTAGTGTCGCATCCAAGCAGGCTGCAAAGTCGTCCGCCTCTAAGGACACTCCCAAGGACGCACCCCAGCCATCAACCGAACGGAAGAGGGAACGTGGTAATATCTCTGCTGCTGCCAAGATTCTCCAGCGCGATCTTGGATTAGCTCCATCCGGCGGCCGTCGACGCGGCGGGAAGGGTGCCTCTGTGGATTCCGACGCCGCGAAGAACGAACAAGTCAACGCCGCAACCCCCGAACCGCCAAAGAAGGAGGCTTCCAGCAGGTCGTCGAAGGGTGCCAATTCTTCGCAGAACTCCAGGGGTCGGGATCGTGGCCACGCTCAGCAACAACCCAACGAGCCATCGGAAGCGGGCACACCTCCCGTCAGCACAACCCCGAAACCTTCCAAGCCCGCCAAAGGAAAACAAGCAGCGGCCGGCCCGGCAGCCACCGCCACCCAAGCCTTCCTGAAGCACGCCAACCCGTCCCAAGGTGTCACTGAGCCATTGCTGGAAACTGCATTCGCTCCTTTTGGTAAAGTCCTGAAGGTTGAAATCGACAAGAAGAAGGGCTTCGGCTATGTCGATTTCGCTGAGCCAGACGGACTCCAGAAAGCCATTGCTGCAAGCCCCGTCACAGTCGCCCAGAGTCAGGTGGTTGTGTTGGAGAGAAAAGCAAACCCCGGCGGCGAGAAGGGTCGCGGAAAAGGTCGTGCGGGTGAATCGCAGCAGTCTACTGCGGGAGGCAACGCCAATAACACCCGGGGCGAGAAGGCCACCGAGGGCAGATCCGGAGGAAACTCATCCCGAGGACCGCGTGGTGGTCGAGGCTCCAAGGGCAAAGGCGGCTCGAAGGGTAACGGCGGCGGCAATGCGAATACCAACGCCGGAAACACTTCTGAGAACAAGGGAAATGCGGATGGCAAGTAAGAGGCGAAGGGTGTGCTGTACTCGATTGCAAAGATCATCTAGAGCGATAGCGTCTCGATGTTGGGTAACGCGCATGAGTCTCCCAGATCACGCATGCAGCGGAATCACGCATGGACGACTCGCTTTCTGGGCGGGACATTCAACCTGTTCACATGCACAGAGCATCTGGCGCTAAGTATCTATCACACCTGATCCATCAGGATGGGATACCGGAGCCCCCTCAGCATGCACCACACACACACACACATACGGCATCAGCCCTTGCCGGCCTTGGGACGTGAGAAGTTGCTGTCTACAGCCATGATATCCGCCAACCAGAGGCTATCTATCTACTCGGTAAGCTGCAGTGGTTACCATGGACACAACCTCTCCTGGCGAAGCTTGTTCTATATAAGCAAACTGCTTTGGCTCAGAGGGAAACGATCCGATATGACATCAACACACTGCAGTGTTCTTATTTGCTACATATCTATGAATAATGAAAGAGAATATCGAGTACGCAGACGAAGGTACACGCAACCTTCTCAATCCTTGTAGTCAGTAAGCATCGAAAGCGTATGAGCAGTCGTTGTCTTCGTGCAGTTCACGGCAGGAACGCTCTTCGGGAAACGAGAAGCTCGAAATCGGAAGAGTCTAAGTTTTACGGTGATTTATACGACGGTCGCCACCGGGCTGCGCAAGATTACTACGCTACAGGCGGAAAGATGTGGATTGGATCACGAATAATAATTTGATTCGAATTCATAACAGCAGACAAGTTTGAGCAAAAAGACCTTGAACCACTCTAATAGACACCAACATAAAGTGTAAAGAGGGGGGTAAAACACCTTTCAGACCTCCTCGACGCCCACCAAGTCAGACCGACCGAAGTCAAGACGTCACGACAAGGTAAAGATCATCACCACTCCCTGGACCAAAAGCTAGACCAATCGCCCGAAACAAGCCCGTCCGAAGACAAGTCGTAACAGAGCGCGGCGACAAGCAAGGTCGAGTCGGAAGTAAAAAACGGCTTCACTTTGGGGCATCGAGGACATAGAAGTCATCAGCAAGGGTGAGGATTCTGTGGCTCTTTAGAAGAGCTCAGAGGTGGGACGTCTACTCTAAAGTGATTCTTTGAACTGTGGGCAGAGAAGAAGGTTAGTGAGACTGTTTGTGGCACGATTGATGCTTGGGAGATTCTGTGGGGAGAAGCCTCAAGGTAGGGGGAGGGATCACTCACGTAGAGTCGCTTGATTTTCAAAATAGCTGGGGGTTGAGGAGGCTTTTATATGGAGGTCGTGGGCGGTGCGGCCGCGCTAGCCACAAGCGAGGTCAGGTGGGTTTGCTGTGTTTGCTTCAAGAAATTTTTGGTTGGGCCAATGGGGCGCTTCGAAAATTTGCGCGAGCCCGCTGCTTCTGGCTTCGCTTTCGCTTGTGTACCTGGATTTTCTCGCCGGTGAATCGTGGGTTTCTTTTTCGTTAGGTAATGGGATGTGGCCTGTGTTTGTTGCCTGGCTCTGTAAGGCACAATGTCGTGCCTGAGGCAGCTACCCCGAGGCACTCTGCAGGTTTCTCCCCACTGCAGTGCAGATTGTTGATGGCCCGCCTAATCGATTTGGTGCAAGTCCTCGGCCCTGCAACGAGTTGGATCTACATTCGAAGCTCTATGTCACATCTGGAAGTCTCTCAAGTGGCCCTGAGTCTCCTTGGCCTCGGTACAAATCAACGCCGTCATCGGCGCAAGGCCACTCTGCTCTATCTCCCGCTTGATGTTTCGAAAGTTGCCAGTGATGTTCTAGGAGGTGGGCACGGATTGTCCTTCTGTCGCCTGGAAGATTAAGGCCGGCTCTTAGAGTCGGTATTGACATATTGACCACGATTCATCTTTCAGGTACTGGATCATGACGGAGCACCTCAGTCATTGAACCCTGTGCGCACGGATGGGGGCTCGGCCACTTCGGCAACTGATGTATCGATTCTGAGCCATCAACCCAGCACAATATTGTCAACATCAGACACGGGCTGACGATCCTTGGTTTCGTGTGCCAGTCGGAGCGATACAGATTACATCAGGGCTGAAGGTCGGCCTGGCTGAATCTCGGCCTTTGTTAGAGAATTTCCCAACTTTCAGCGATCTCCCGTGGAAGCGTCGGGGAACCCTGAGAGAATTAAAAGAACCAACTGTGCCTCGGTTCATGCAAAGTATGATCTCACCTGAAACGATATAGTGCAGCGGCCAAATCAACTGTCCAGACATAGTAGTCTCTCTGGAATATTCTCGTTATCTTCAATTTTTGGTCGAAACGTCGATCAGCCGCTTCTACCTCGCCAGTTTCACCGCATGGCGTCGAAGAACGGGTCCGGGCTACCCTTGGTGGCTGTTTGTTCCGATCAGGGTTGACTCATTCTTGGGTTCTTGTGGAGCAGAGTTCGGACTGATCCGCGATGCTTGGACTTGCACCAGGCATCATGCTTGGTTGTGCTGGGACAATGCAGGTTGAAACAAACCCTCAAACAACAAGAAAAATTCAATTGGGCTTCGGATCCCACGCAGATGTGTGTAGCATGATGGAGGACACTCTACATTGTATGACCTCGGGGTAGGCCTATGGCCGTGGAAGAAATATAAGAACCCTCTCTGCTGACCTTCAGGACATCATCAACAAGCATCAAATCCAGTTCAACTGTCTGAACAGTCTCTAGCAAACCAATTCTTCTACGTATTCTCCCAGCTCCACCTCCCAATCCCGAAATGAAGCTCATCAGTGCCTCGTCTGTCGTGGTGGCCGCCACCGTCATCTCGGCCGCCAACGCCGCTGCTTTTCCCTCTCTGCCCAGCATCCCGGAAAGCTGCTTGGAGATCCCCAAGGTCATGGGCAACAAGCCTTTGCAGCTCCTGCAGTACTTCCACAAGGAAGTGTGTGAGCAGAACTGCACCGCCACCATCAACCAGCACAACGCCTACGTCCAGAACCAAGTCCTCCCGCAGCTCATCCAGGACATGGATCAGAAGCTGGGTATCTCTGCCACTGAGCAGGCGCAATTCAAGCAGCTCCACACCCAGGCCGTTGCCGCCGTCGAGAAGAGCTGCTCTGCCAAAGGCAACAAGCCCCTCTGCAACGATATCCAGGGGCTGGTCGATTATGGATTCTGTGCCTTCCAGGCCACTGAGCCTATCTTCAAGAGCCACCTCAGTCAGTTGCAGTCGGGTTCCCTCAACATCACGGAGGCCAAATGCGACAAGATCAAGGAGCTTGACTCGGACGCCACCGTCTGGCAGAAGACCCTTCCGAGTTACATTGACACCTTCGCCAAGGAGTGTGCGAGTGAGAAATAGAAGAAGTGCGCGAGGATGTTCTAATCAGGCGAGATAGCCTAGATGGCTTGAGCCGATGTCGAAGCATCATTCACGCCGATTGGAAGCAGCGTTGCTGCGTCGCAGGACGAGGAAGAACCGTTGCAGTCTTGTTTGTTGTTTGTTTGATTCTACCGGCTTGGATTTGAGATCCCGCAAAGTGTCACTCTCTTGAGGATGTATCTGGTATATGAGATTTAGTTATTTTTGAATTTATCTGTTGACCAGGTTGAATTATTCCAAGTTGGGTTTAATTTTTCTTATTTCTTTCTTTTTCAAAAAACCTTAGTAGAAGTAGATACGTACCATAAAGCAACGATAGCATCCATGATGCTTATCGGGCTTATCGCAGTGTGGGGTCAGCCATTGCCGTTACCCGAACTCCTGGCCATTCAACTAGCGGTGGGTGGAGATGGGCTCCTTGGTCTAGATACAACCACTCAAACAACTTCCTGGGGAAGTGTCAGCCATCGCTCACAACAATCCCAAAACCTCATGCCGCACCACCACGGTGAGACGCATGGTGGTAGCTACTTGCAAGCACTTACTCGGGTGAAACCTGAACCAGATGTCAGAGCAGGTCTCTCCGAAGCAGCTCCGAACGAGTCTCTGAACCCACACCTTATTCCTCCTTATCACATGTGATGCCGCGACCGAAGGTACACCCTGAGAATCGACTACGGGCCTATGAGGCTTGCCTAGCATGTCGGGCGACCAAGAAGCGATGCAGTGGCACATTTCCATGTGCAAAGTGCATCCGGCTTGGTCGCGCCGATACCTGTGTTCCGGCTCGTCGTGCCAGTGCTCGGCGGCCAAATGGGAACAATCATAACGCAAATCCTTCGGGCTCGATCTCTGCCAATCGAAACTCTACTTCTCTGAACCTAGCATCTTCCGAAAGTCAAATCAATAGCCTCCCACCTTCTCCGTCCTCCGGGCCAGCTGTGTCTACTCTAGGACCAGGGCCTCTGTCTCCGGAAACGCCGCACAGGACCCACCCTCGCATGCTGCGTAACCTTCGGGGTGAACGAGGTAAGCATTGCCTGACTACACTTTGACAGGGTCCAGCCCCTCATGAAGTTTTCTTCTAGTGTATATCGGAAAGGCTGCGTCCTTGTCTTTCCTGCAACTCGTTCGCGATACCGTTACGCAATGCATTGGACCATCGCAGTTCTCCCACAATATGAAAAGCGAAGACATGCTAGAGACCGAGTCACCAGATGATGTTCCCCTTGAGCTGGACGATGAGTTTGACGTACGTCAACAGCAATACTATGTTCAAGCCTACAGTGCAGCAACGAGCGGCTTCATGCATGTTCTGTCAGAAGAGGAAGTGATGCAGCTCCTGGAAGCACCAATTGGCTCAAACGCTGATACTAATGGCAATCGAGGTCAAACAAAATCAGCTCTGCTGAATATCGTTATCGCTATTGGAGCGCAAGCGTCGAAGCATCATCCGTTAGCAGAGAGGGCTGGAAAGTTCTTCTTCGCTTGTGCTCAGCGCAGCGCATTTGCAGGGATGCTCGAGAATCCAAGTCTGGATCTAGTGCGTCTTTTTCTTCTGATGTCATACTACATGCTCGGCGCGTGTCGCAGAAACGCCGCATTCATGTACCTCGGGGTAGCTGTTCGCGCAGCAGTGGCACTAGGACTACAGCTTACCGACCTCGGGGAGGCCGTCTCAACCAAGGAACAAGATATCAGAGCACGGGTATGGATGAGTCTCTGCGTACTGGATCTACTAGTGAGTTCTATTCTCGGCAGAGCAGCTGCGACAACCTCGTTACGTTCGGACTCAGAAGACACGTCTTTCTCATCGTCACACACCGATAGCCAGGCAGAAAGGAGCCTGGTGGCTTCTTTCAAGTTGTCAAAGATCTTGGATGATATCATCACTGGGCTTTACGGAAAACAGGCAGCCTCGGTCGAGGCGGCCGATGCCCTCTTAACGAAGCTGAAGGACTGGAGTGATGAGCTACCCGAGTCATTACTGGCACCCCCCGATACCGACTATGAACAGCCTGCGGCTCACCAGCATATTATTGGGAACTTACATGTTGCGTGCACTTATCACTTCGCTGTTATCATAGTGACACGTCCCTTCTTGATATCAGCTCTGGGTTTTCGGCTTGCACAGTTGAATCTCAGTCCCATGGGCGACGAGAATGAGGAACACAATGAGGAATTGGCATATTCCAAACTTGCAACGGCATGCGTCGATTCAGCAGTGTATATGATCCAGACATGCTCAGAGGTCTTCCAATCTCGTCTCTTGCTGGGAAACATGTGCATCCTCAAGGCTTTTATCTTTGCAGCTGGACTGGTGCTGGGTTTCTCCATGTTCTCCCAGAAAGAAGCAGACGCTTTGCAGGAGGAAACTTACGATGACGCTCTCGACATCCTGCGCATGCTTTCTGAGCGATCTGCTCAGGCTGCTCACTACCTTGAGATTCTCAGTCTGCTCAAGAACGCCGTCTATGATCAGCGTCAACGACTCGCGCAAAATTCCCAACAAACTAGAAGTCGATACGTTAGCAAGCTTTTCAGTCTCAGTGGTCGCCGCCTTTCAACACAAACCCAAACTGAGACCGTCGCCTCTGTCAGCGAGGAGGTCTCCGATCCTTCGCAACTCGGGCTATATGAGCCGTGGCCAAGTGTGGATGATTATTCTGCCGTGGATCCTGCCGAGTACAGTGCTGCGCTCACGGGATGGGGTGGGATGGAATTGCCACTGTGGGATAGTTTCCCGTTCAATGGACCAGCTATGTGATGGCAGGAAGAGGTCTAGATGCGAGGGACAGACGTACGACAAACTGCTGCTGGCGGAGTAACAATTTTGTATGAATTTTGTAGCTGTAGGATGCTGTTCCGCAGATATGTCTTGAAATATTGACATTGTCAAGTTGATCATGGAGTTTTTAGCCATTCTTGAAATTAATGCTGCTATTATATCCATACCTAGTACTTATGGTGTTGCCACGGCTCAAAGGGGACTAGTGCTTCCTGGAGATAGGCTTCCCGGTCGCTGTTGACGGATCTTACTTTCTCTTTGCTTCCTCGACCAATCCATTCATCGACACATTTCCACGTATCCACGTATCACATGTTTATGGGTATCAAGTTGATTTGACCCTTGTTCTCTGAAAGACAACCACCTTTCCCATTTAGTCCCATGGCCTCTCGCGATGGCAACTCCGCAGGTGCGACAGATAGTATATAGGACACGGACCAAGTCGGGATGTTTGACATGCAAGTAAGCTACACGCACCACCGCTCGACGGCAGACAGCTCAGCTAACATAATATTGTAGGAGTGAGTTTATCTGCCAGACCACAATATCAAAGTCCTGGATCAGCTTGTTGATTCTTCTCCCTCCACACAGAGCGACGCATCAAATGCGACGAGACCAGACCGAGCTGCTTGAGATGCACTTCCACTGGTCGCAGGTGTGACGGCTACCATACAACCTCCCTATCCCCGATGGTTCTTTCTCTTCCGCGGCCTTCTCTCTCTCCCGCAACCTTAACGTATGCGAGAAGCGAGCGCGAAATCCGATCTTTCCAGTTCTTCTGCGAGAAGACTGTATTCTCTTTGGCGGGCTACTGCGGATCGGAACTCTGGAGCCGGTCAGTGTTGCAGGTCAGTCAGCACGAGAAACCTATTTGGCACGCGCTGGTCGCCCTGGGTGCGTTGCATGAGAATTTCGAGAATGACCGGCAGATTCCTGGCTTCTGGTTCAGTCGTGAGGGGCACGATACATTTGCAGTAAAGGAGTACCTAGCGGCGATCAGAGCTCTCTTAGGTCCCTCGGATTCAGCCAGCAGCCCATCCCTCCATATGTGTGGTAGCCACGACAGGAGGCTTACCGTGGATGTTTGTTTGATTTCCTGCGTTCTTTTCATTTGCTATGAGGTATGTTTTCGGGGGGGTGGTTGTGGCTTGGGTATCGGTGGTTGACCAGCAGCGAAGATCATGTCCAGCCATTACATCGCCGCGGTCAATCATATTCGCAATGGGGTGAAGATACTCGGGCAGGTCACCTATGATCCAAGGACCGGGACATATCATCATCCGTTTCTGAAGCCGTCTACCGTGCCGAGCCTTGAGATTGAGAGCTTGCGGATGCTCCTCGTTAGACTGCATGGACAGGCCTTCACCTTGGTAGGTCACATTTGTTTTCCGTGATTACACATACTCTCGAGTTTTGACTGGAAGTTGATCTTATGTTCAGACACGAAACGAGGAGGATAATCCGTCTTCAACCTCGGCGCAGTTGACTGGATACGGATCTGTCGCCATCCCACAGTGCTTTTCCTCCCTTGCAGAGGCCCGCGATGTATATGAGCATCACGACGGCATGTTTAGGCGCGAATATCATCTCATGGTCAATGCTATGGCGAGATTTGGAACAGTTGATGAGCCTGAAATCTTGGTGCGGCGCTATACGGAGATACTGCAGAAGTGGTCCAGTGCCTTGGACTGCTTCGAGCAAGTTCGTGGTCCTTCCTTGACGATGAAGGAACAAGCAGGCTTGAAGATATTGCAAATCCATCGTCTCAGGCACAATCTGTTATTAGAGCAGTATATGTCTGGCTCTTCGGAGTCGACCGTCTGGGATAGATACAATGCGATCTTCAAGGAGATCACTGCTTTGGCTGCCTCCGTCGTGGAACTTTCGAGCAGTGTTGGTTCACCAGCTATATTACCAGCCCAGTCATTTGGCTCTCTACGTGACTTACGGGACCGGCCGCGACTGAGTCCTAGCTTCTCACTCGACTTGGGCATTATTAGTCCCCTCTACGATGTCGCTACTCTCTGTCGCGATCCGGTGATCCGCCGTGAGGCCGTAGGTGTTTTGCGATCGGCATGCCGCCAGGAAGGCGTCTTCAATAGTCATGTATGTGCAGTTGTTGCTGAGAAGGTCATTTCTCTGGAGGAGAAGGTCGCGCTTGAGGGGGGCTTGGATTATGGTCGCGATTCTGCCACCGTTGTGGAGCTTATTTCAGAGACCGACGCCGGTCGGCACGGGTTTATCTCCCGGTGTTCGGAAGTGCCTGGATCTGCACGACTAACATACGCATATCCAGAATTTGATACTGCTGGGAGACGGGTCTTCTTGACAATCGGTCAAGATATCGGGGTGCATGCCAATATTCCATTACGGGCTATGACGGCGATACTAGACACCGAAGGTCGTTGGTCCGGTGAAGATATATAGATTCAAGATCACGCGGGATTTGGAAGGGGGTCGACACAGGTGGTAGACAATTTTCCATCGGAACCACGAAACCTATTTCAGATATGGAAACACCCTTTAGAATAGCTCATAATCACAATATAAACATCCATCATCTTCCCTTTTTGCCGGAGACATCTCCTGGACTCAGTTTTGAAAGAGATTGACCCATAGGATGTGAGGAGCTTCCACATACTCACTACATTTATGACAAGCATATAAAGGACCAGTCACGTCAACATTACAACAGCAAGGCCTGCTGGCCCAATGGTAAGGCGCTTGACTACGAATCAAGAGATTGCAGGTTCGAGCCCTGCGTAGGTCATTTTTTTTTGCATCCCATCATTAGGCTCTCTCCTTCCGTATCTGAACATCTTCCCCTCACTCCCCTCTCACACCTCCATCATCAACCACTCTTCGAAATCCCAAACCACCAGCACCAATACACCAACCTCCTCCCCGAAACCCAATATATACATCATTTCACTTTCAGCCCAACCTCGTGTGACAGATGCGCATTTCCAAACACTTCATCCCGAATGGTCTGTTAGCGCTTCCGTCTACACCTCACCCTGCAGCTCTTCAGCTTGGATCCTTGTCACCAACCCCGCCTCGGTTTAATTATGACACGCCCATGGAGTTTCCGCTGAGCATCGATCGGTATTTGTCAAATCATCGCATCTCAATTCGATGCTCACCCACCAGACCCGTCCAACGACCACCCACCCCCTCATCTCCGCTGCTGCTCAGCACGAGGGGCAAGATGAAGCGAGAACGCTGCCACTGTCTCACATGCGAAGCTAGCAAACAACCCTAGCCTAGGATCTTGCATACCACTAAGGGACATTCAATGTTCAAACCGTGGGATAGCCAAAGCTTCCAGTGCTCAGCTCGTACTTTTCCACCCACCCCGCCGTGGACCGGCGCCCACCCATCTCGCTAGCTGACAGACCCTCCACCAATGCCACCCCTGTCACTCATGGTTCCCGTGCAGCCGGTGCTTTGCGCCGCTGTGTGACTATTTCCTAGTTGGGGCCACCCTGCGCATGTCTCGACAGCGCGCAGCTACAATGCTCCTCAAACCTCACGAAACCCCACTACTGAGGAATTGTCATGACGACCGATGATGCTAAGGGTTCCGACAGGACCTTCACCCCTTGAGTTATAAGAGCAGCAGCCAGCCCCCCTTCCTCCGATGGATTCGCAAGACCCTGTACAGGCCTGGTTGAAATCTCATCCAGTACGGTACCATGCTTCACATATTGGAAATTCTCGCCACCCTCGTTGGCGCGTACCTGGTCAAAGTCATTCTGGCTCGCAGGAAACTGCCTGCGCCACTCCCTCCGGGGCCGAGACAAAAACCCCTCATCGGGAATCTCCTAGATCTTCCTCCCACTGGTGGACAAGAGTGGGTACATTGGTTCAAGTTCAAAGAGCTATACGGTGAGCAGCCTCGAGGTGAACGTCGTGAGGAACGACTAACAACCTGCACAGGTCCTATCAGCTCAGTTCAAGTTCTTGGTGAGACATTTATTATCATCAATGATGCGCAGATCGCAGTGGATCTGCTGGAAAAGCGCTCGGCCATACATTCCAGCCGGCCGCAGGGACAATTCAACCATTTGTAAGCCTAAAACCTACAAGATAATACAAAAGAAAAAGGCTAACCGGCGATGCAGATCCGGCTACAACGAAGTGACCACCGCAATGGCGTACACAGACACCCTGCGTATCCATAGGAAGCTGTTCCACCAGCAGATTGGGTCTGTGAACTCCGTTGCTCGCTACAATAACTTCCAGGAGGCCGAAGTCGGGCGGTTCATGCTGCGATCGCTCGAAGCACCACAAGACTTGATTCCTCATATCCGAAAGTAGGTCGAGCCTGGAATTTTCTGCACTTTAGGGAGTGCGAGAGATGGACTGACAAAACTAGACTGGCTGGAGGTGTGATCCTGAAAGTCGCGTATGGATACAACATAGAACGAGACGGAGAGGATCCTCTCGTCGAGATTGCAAATGATAGTGTAGAGAAGTTTTTCAAGTCCATAACTCCTGGCATGTGGCTGGTCGACTTCATCCCGGCTCGTACGTACCTTTGCATATTCCAAGGGCGCGACTACTGACATGGCAAATATAGTAAAACATATACCTTCCTGGTTCCCCGGGGGTGGGTTTCAGCAGGCAGCGAAAGAATTTCGCGTGGCTGCGGACAACCTCAGTGCCAAGCCATACGCATTTGTTCTCGACCAGATGTCACGCAACGCTCACGCGCCGTCTTTCCTATCTGGCCTGTTTGAGAAGAACGGTATCCCCGAGCCTGGGAGCGAGCAGGAGACGACTTTCAAATGGACGGCAACGACATTATTTGGAGGAGGAGCTGACACGGTAAGTACTCGTCGAATTTTAGTGAAAAGTGGCAACAACTGAAGTTCGACAGACTGTATCCACACTGACAAGCTTCTTTCTCGCACTGGCCTTGTTTCCAGAAGTACAAAAGAAGGCACAAGAGGAGATAGATCGGGTAGTGGGCACATCTCGTCTTCCCGGGTTTGCTGATCGCGAGAATCTCCCATACATTGAAGCTGTTGTTAAAGAAGCCTTCCGATGGCACCCAGTTGTGCCAATGGGCGTTGTGCATCAGTCAATGGAGGAGGATACGTGGGGTGGATATCATATTCCCAAAGGGTCTCAGATCTTGTCTAACATCTGGTGAGTTGTCGTTCGGCCTTCTTGATCCTTCTTGATCCTGATAAGCGCAGGGCTTTCTTGCACGACCCAGCCACATATCCCGAGCCAGGCACTTTTAAGCCCGAGCGCTTTATCGCGAGTGCTAACCACACTCCGGAGCATAATCCGCATTTCCTAGCTTTTGGATTTGGCCGACGCGTGTGTCCTGGTCGGACTATTGCAGACGCAACCGCTTATTTGACCATAGCGCAGTCTCTGGCGGTGTTTAATTTCAGCAAGCCCACCAAAGACGGTAATGAGGTTGACTTGAAACCGCAATTTCTGCCTGGGGTGATCAGCCATCCGGCGCCGTACGAGATCAGCATCAAGCCCAGAAGCGAGCAGCATGAGGCGCTCATCCGGGCGGTGGAGGTGAATTATCCGTGGGAGAAGAGTCATGCAGAGGAGTTGCATCGCGTAGTCTCATAGTAGGGAGGGATGAAGTGATGCACGGATATGTAAAGGGAGTCTCGCGCCATTATCACCATACGACGTAACCAACAACGTCACTTTGACTAAAGTCTAAGAGTCCTGTGACTCAAATTGAATAGGGACATATTTTTTTCTGTTGGTTCTCACGCGTCTGCTTTGCGCAACCTCTCTCTTTGTTTACAGTCTGTAGACCAAGTTTGATAAAAGGACGTACTAATATTTGGGGGACTTCTGTATCTCCAAACTCATCCCACCCTCCGAAAAAGGAAAGAACCCATCATTCCAACTCCAAACCATCACCAGAACAATACGACACCCAACCTTGCAAACTTTACCCAAGATCCCAAAAGGCAGCCTACAAGGGATGTCCATGTCATCTCTATTCTCAAGCCGCTTCCCCGCTTTCCTCAGACCTCCCGATGGACCGAATCATCTCAGCTTTTTTCCCATCGACCCTTTCGATCCTCCTCCGGGCAGTATGAGCCAAGGAGCTCCCACTAGCACCAGCACCGCCCCAACATCCTCTTCCATCACCAGCAACCTCATCTCCTCCGCAACAGCAACAGAATCAGCCCGATCCGATGATCCGGAATCTGACCCTTACCACCCCAAACTCCCCATTCTCGAGCCCCCGCTCACCGACCCCTGGAAAGACATCTCGCTCCCTCCCTCGCTGGCCCCGGAGGACATCTTGACGAGAATGTATGGTGCCTTGGGCGCGGAGTGGTTACCGCAGCAGCATCCGCTAGCGCAGACGCAGACGCAAACGCACACGCAAACGCAGTACCTCACGCGGGAGGTGCAGATCCGGAGTCAACAGCATCAGCCGCATCAGCAGCAGCAGTACTGGTATGAGCCGCCGCGCGTGCATTCGTTGGTGCAGTTATGGCCTCCGGGGGGCTTGGATCAACCGCAGCAGCAGCAGCAGCACTATTACCAACAGCAGCACGAGCAGCAGCCGCAGCCGCAGCGGGAGGTAGATCGTCACGGTCACGGTCACGGCCACGGCCACAGCCACGGGCACCATCACTACCATCATCGTCATCATCATCACCAGCATGAGCATGAGCGTGAGCGTGCACTACATACGCCTTACGATTATCTGCAGGCTGTTGGGTTTGGGTTTGAGACTGGGCATGGGTCTGGGTCGGCGGTTGGGTCTGCCGCGGGAACGAGGCCGGGGTCGGCGGCGGCGGCGGCGGCGGCGGGGGGTGGTGGTGGTGGTGGTGGTGGGGATTCTGGGCGTGGGGGACGGTATTGTCTTCGGTGTTGTGGGATGGTTTGAGGCTTATGGGACTGTGGGTTATGGTGC